ATGTTTTTCAGTTACCATGAAAAGACTGCTCATAGAATATTTGATTATTGAGCTTCTGGCAATTTTTAGCTAACTGATTGGTTGGCAATCTATTTTTCCTAATTGATATGTTTTAAGCACATGGTTTAATTGCAGCCAATGAGAGCTAGTAAAACCAGGAGCCAAAAATAACCAGTCATCACAGCTGTTTTAACAAAACCTTTCAGAGTAGATTGTTGGTCTCCATTTCAAGATGAAGGAGAAATACTATTTTTCTGTATGTACTTAGCTTGGGGTTTTGAGTGCCTGAGAGGATTCCTAGCCTAAATGCAGCTGTCCTCCAAACTAGTTTTGTCATCTTCTTCCTGGAGTCAAAATCTTCAACCAGCGTATGGGATTGACTACTATATGGGTAATTCAGGGTTTTTTTTTTACATGTTTAGTAAATTATTTTTTTTAAGACACTAAAAAAAATTTAAGAATTTTCCTACTTCAGTTTGAAATGTGTATGTTGATTGTTAATGGGATACCTTTATTTAGTCCTGTTTCTTTATGTTACAGTGGAGTGAGGATGCAGATTTGACCTGTGTCTTCATCTTTACAGGGCTGAAATCAGTACTTTTTCCCCAGTAAAATTCACTACCCCATTGCAAATGTTTTTAAAGGTTTCTACTTGTTGGGAATACAGCTGAAGAATATAATGTCATGGCTTTCACGTGGAATTGCAATGCGATCCATAGTGCTACATTATGTGTGACACCTTTAATACAAGAATAGGAACATCCCTAGAAGAAAAGATAGAATATTCAGACTTCTCTAGTCACAAATTACAAGCTACCTACCACAGGAATTATTCCCTTGCAAATTTTAAACCCTAAATTGTTGAAAAACTTGACATTATTTTAGGAAAAAGTCCTTTGAATGTAGTATCAAATGCAAAATGCTAGACTGTTATTAAATATCTCCAGATGAAGAAACTTGAAAAAATTCAGTTATTCAATTTGCTTTAGCAAAAGAAAGCAAAAAGCACTCATGATGATTAGCTAAAAGTTAGTTCAGTTTGTTTAATCTTGAAATCATTTGGTCTGTCATACTAAGCAAGGAACTCTATTTTTTTTTTTTTAATGTGCAAAACCCCAAAACTTATTTTTCCAAACTCAGTTTCCACTAATATAGGCTAGAAGGTAATGGTTTGAATTGTTCTGTGCTCAGGAATACATCCATTTATTTTCACAACCTCAATCCCATTCAAAACACACACACAGTCACTCACACACTAACACAAACACACACATACCCCACATGCACTGAAATAAACCACAGTCATGAAGAGGCTTCCTCACCTTGCTCTTCAGTTACTAGTGCTGTACACCCTGCTACTTGGAAAGAAGAAGAAAGGCCAAAAATGGGAGCAGAGTTTACAGTGACTTATGGGGACATATGCCAGCGCCTCTCTGAGGCATTAGAAAGTACAGAAAAGAAAAGCCAACTCTATTCCTTTGATGAAGCAGATATCCTGACTTTGACCCTTATCATCAATTCTCAAAACTATTTTGTTTGCTCTAACCACGGGAGACCCATGTTATATTTTTATTTGTTGTGGGCAGAAACCTAAAAAGGTTTCACTTGAACAGCCCTTAATTTTTTTTTTGCATTCATTTTAATAGAGTTGATTTGGAATTAATTGTGTTAGGATAGATATTATAATCTTCTGTGGTTGTTCCTTTTATTTGAGGGTGTATATAGGAGTTTTAGATGACAGCACAATTAGTGTGGAATATATGTATGGTGCTCATATGCTTCCATTCTGGATTTTAAAGTCTCATAGGTTGTAGTCTGCCAGACCAAACTTAATTCAGAGGTCTCTGTTGATAATATTGCCCAATTATCAAAGCTGGGATATATTATCACTACCAGTTACTCTTGCTGTCAATTTGTCTTGGCCTAACTATGGTTCTGTTTGTACTTTACTGTAATGTAGTGAATACATTGGATTGGGTTGTTAGTTTAACAAGCTCTCTGGAGAACTCTTTCATGGTGATGCATGTTGAGATATGCTAGATAACTTTAAGGTCGCCTTAAAGTTATTTGCGTATTTGCTAAAACCTACAGAAATTCATTCTCTAGAAAATTTAGAAGGATAAACTCTCAATCTGTGGAATGAGGTAAAGATTCTCTTACTTGGTAATCATCTAGGACATTTGTAAATACAGGAGTGTTAATCATGAGTCCCAGGCAAATTTCTTTAGGGGTTTTGAGTTGATGATTTCTTCCTTCTCTTACAGTTTTACTGAATGAATTATTTTATTTTCTTTTAAAAAAGTATTCTGGTAGTTACACCCTTATTGACTCTTGTGCTCTATGCAGCTCACTATGTTGTGGTAACTCAGTAATCCTGGCCAGATATTGAGCTAGGGGTTAAAAAAAAAAATGTTACCAGCGATTCAAGCTAACTGGGCTGTTAATGTTTACATTGTGCTAAAGTCATTTAGAAATTGGCCGGCCCGGTGGCGCACTGCTATAGTGCGCCGCTTGGGAAGCGCGGCGGCGCTCCCGCCGAGGGTTCGGATCCCACATGCAGACCGGTTCCCGCTCACTGGCTGAGCGAGGTGCGGGAGCAACACCGAGGGCTGCGATCCCGTTGCCGGTCCCGGTCTGGTACGGGGGCGACACTGAGGGTTGCGATCCGTTGCCGGACACAGAAAAAGACAAAAAAAAAAAAAGAAATGTACACTGATCTCCTCCTAGACCTACCCCAACCTATGGCATCAACATTTCCAGAGTTGGAGCCTGGTAATCTGTATTTTTAAAATTATCCCCAGAATTTTCTGGATGCTGGAGTTGTTTTAATATTTTGATCTGAGGATCATTACACAAGTGTACATATGTTAGAATCCCTCAGGATGTATATTTAAGATTTGTGCACTTCATTCTAGTATTTCATTCTTTTTATGTTATACCTCAGTAAAAAAGTTTTTTTAAAATGTGCATTACTCTCCTAAGTCAAACAGCTTGCAGTGGTCACTTAATGAGCATTGTTAAGCATCCCCTGTCCACATAGTTATGACCCAAGAGTAGATAACAGTGTGAGTCTTGACCCTTGTGAGCATAAAATGTGGTGGAAGAGAAAGTGATAATGATACATAACATAAAGCTTTATACGAGTAGTTTATGAAGCCTTTTTGCACAGATGATGCATCAACCTCTGCTTATTGGCAATGTTACTATTCCCATTTTTTTTTTTATAAAGAAACTGAGATTCACGTATTTAGGATTACCCAGCAGGTAAGGAGTAATTGCAAGACTTAAACTGAGTCTTCTATAAAGAGCCTGTGCTTTCCCAGATATAATGCTTCAATTAACAAAAACAAACAAAAAACCTTACATGGAAGCAGAAGCTACAGCATTTTATGGAGCTGTAAAAAGCCAGTGCCCGGAGAGTTCTTTAGGATGTGGGGTATGTGTTAAATATGTATGTGGCTCATTGTCTCTTCATGTTGCCTATTTTCATGTCACAGTTGTCCATTTGAACCTCTGGTATTTTACTATGTTAACCTTTCTCTGGTGAATATGACATTTGTAGAAAAATTTTCAATTAGAATACTCTGCTCTCTGGTCTGACTTTCTAAATTCTTCAATATATTCTTGCCTCATTTTCAATTCTTGGATTCCCAAATAATACCAGCCCATGATGAACGTCTTCCCTTGATTACATATGGCATTTATTACCTGTTGCATATTCTTTGGCACTTGATCGTTTTCCATCAAGCTACTTATTGCTGTCATATATTATTCTTTATTTATGTACATAAATTTTGTCTTCCTAACAAGATTGTATATAAGTTCCCTAACCACAGGACTAATTTGTGGTGGCACATAGTAGGTATTTACTAAGTGTTTTTTGAAGTTAACAATGCACTTACTTGGTTTTTCCCCTCTTTGTCTTCTTACATCCAGTAAGGATTGCTTCCATTATGGCCTTAGTGTAGGAAAGAGTGGGCTAATGGTGAACTTCTTGGGTGGGATCTCCAACTCACTAACCCCATGGATCTCAGTGGCATAAACTCTAGGAACAGGTCTCAGAGCTCTTTCATCTTTCCTTCCTTTTCAGTGAGTAACTTCAGTGATATGAAGTTTTGTCATAGGTGATGTACAACTGTGCAAAGTAACTGTGTTTGTGTTCTATGGCCTTCATGATCATTACCACTGTCTCTCCCAGGGCATGTTGAGAACCACTGACCTTTAAATTTGTATAGTAACTTCTGATTTCAGAAAGTAGGGCATAGTCAGTTGTGGGTTTTGGGGTGTGAAGTATCAACTTTAGAATGTGCTGATGGTTCCAGATCTGCAGAATGAATCTGCAGAAGGCTTTTCAAGCCTTCACCACTGACTGTGTTTCTTGCATACTCTTGAATTATGCCTATGCATCAGATCTCTGGGTCCACTGAGATTCCATGAAGGCCTTTTTCATATCATGTTTCTTAAAGTGAAACTAAATATTCTTCCTTAGTCAGCAATACTTTTCTTATATATTAAAATCACCCTTATTTCTTCTGACAAGCAGTTTTTTCTTGGGGAGTTTCCCCATTTAAATAAGGCTAGTTTTGCAATAAATTCAAAGGTTGAGTGATCATAGAGATTAACTTAAGAGGGAATATTCCTGTTTATCACTCTGTGAAAGAATTCCTCTCCCCAAACTTATGGGTAATTTCCTCTCACCTGGATCTGAATTTTTGGTTAGATTTTTATCCTTTAAGTTCTTAACTTTATGTGAGACTTGACTGTTTTTTTTTTATGAAAAACATGTTAATGTAGAAACGCTATGGATCTTTATAGACTAAATTGCTGAACTAAAAGTAGATTCTTAGAATTAACCCACCACTACTACCTTTCCTGCTGCCCCTCCTCATGCACATTTGCAGTTCGATCCTTTCCTTTTTAGGTTTCTCTTTATTCAACATAGCAAATATGGGCATGTAGAAGATAAGTCCTTACTTATGTGCCTACCTTTCTGTTTCTAGGTGGGCCATGCACAGACACAGCTCATGTCTCGTTAATCACACCAACCAAAAGATCCTGTGCTACAGGTATGTACATCATTCTTATGTGAATTCATCCTTTCCTGAATTTGTCACAGGAATTAGCAACTGGTTCTAACTTGGTGTGCTGGCCAGGGTACTCTCTAATTTCTTCTATTAATTGTGAAGTGATCTATTATGTGCCTAGTATTGGGAGTGGAGTGTAAGCAGAGGTCACAGTGGTATTCTTGGGGGTCAGGTTGACTGAGTTAATGCTGGTGACTAGATCCAAGAAAGTGGACATCAAAGTTTACCTGCCTAATGTGTGAAGAATATTATTAAGACATGAAACATACAGAAAATGCAGATCATGTTCAGTTTGTACATGTGGCTAATTTGTCTAAGTCTTGTACGTACTAAAAAAATATTGGTTAAATAATGGAGTCTGGAGGGTGAAAGAAGACTTAGTATAGAAAATCAGTGTTTTAACTTAACTATTATAGTGTCTTAGTAATTTTGGAAATTTTTTTTCTTTCATTCATCTTAAAGCCGTGTGCTGAAATCATTCTTTTTAGACGCATGGAGTCCCCCAAAACATCTTTGTGCATCTGTGACATCTTTATTAAACATGAAGTCATGATTCTTGTAGCTCTCTAAAGAGCAGTCATAATGCCCATTGCTCCCAGCCTATAGCTTGATTTATTAAACAATATTTGCTTTTTGTAATAATGCTGCTTGCTATATAAAATATCTCAAGGATTATAGTAGGGAGAGTCAGAATAATTAACATTATTTTTCTAAAAGTCAAAGAGTATTTTTCATTAATTTAAAAAGTCCTTGTAACTCCTCAACAGAAATAGCACAAAATATTTCCATGTACATACTTACACTGAAACTTCAGCTCCTTTAAATGCTTGTAGTTTGATGTTAAACCTCAAACAGGCCTGTCTTTGCAGTTTCAGAGTACACCTGTTAGAAGATGTTGATACATACATCAATAGGTGTTTTAGGCAGAAGGAAGAGTAAGGTAGAAGTACTAACACTCATTGCCATACCCAGTTTCATTAATTGATTTTATGTTAATCACATTCTCTGTTGCATGTCAATATTATAGTAGAAACTGAGGATAATATTTTTAGGTCTCCATAAGTGAAAGATAAGAGAGGCATTGAGCTCAGTCACACATTTCTAGGCCTTCATTGAGGTGAATACATACATTTTAACTAGAAAAAGATTGAGAATTTTTGGCTTAGAAGGAAGTTAATGCAATGTGCAGCTCATCTCCAAAAAAGCCTGAAGGAAAGTTGAGATTTCTCAGCATGGACATTAAAGGCCATCAAGTTCAGCCTGCTGGACTTCTTTTCAAGTAGCCTGTTCGGTAACTTCCAAGGCTGCTCAGGCTATCCAGAGTGCTTCAGCCTTAGGTACCAGCCCTGACTCTAGAGGACAGAGCTTCCTGATTTTGAGAAGTAAATTAAATGATTTGCTTTGAGAGTCACAGGTTGCCTGTCTCTGTCTTCATCTTTCTCTCTATCCTGCAAACAGCAGTAGCCCATGAGGGGTCCTGATCATTTTTCTTCTGAATCATCAATTTTTATTGTTACATCACGGGAAGGTTCCTTGAAGTCTTTATGTCTAGGTTCTTCAAGAGTAGGAATCATGCCTGTAACATGTGCTCTGTCACTTCTACCATAGGGGCTCTCCCAAGGATTTCCCAGACAGATCCAACATGTGTCTTCAGACATAGATAGGAAATAATTACTTTGCAGTGATGAATGACATTTATTGTAAGACCCTATGTAAAATCTTACCAACTGCTTCCCAGCCAATTTAGGCATACAAGGTTGGACCTAAAGCAGCCTTGAGCTTCATAATGATGTGTGTTAGAGAAAGGGATACTTAGACTAGAATAAAGTGGTTCTTTAAGTCAGCAGTCTCTGAAGAAGGGTACACAATGTACAGTCTGTGAGGTGTGGGGAGAAAATAATAAAAGCTCCCTAACTCAGCCTTTTAAAATTTCTCTTTTGCAAATTTATTTTATAATATGTGTGTGTGTGTATATTAGTCCATACATGTAGTTTATAAACAAATATTCATACAAATATATACATATTAAATATACATGGCCAAATATTTTTGATAGGAGTATGCAGTGAAAAAAGATTGGTGACCTCTTCTTCAATAAGCAAGTCATTTTCTTATTATTACTTTGAAAATTAGATCTAAAGATTAGCATTAGACCCATTGTTATTTGTTTAGTAGGTAAAGACCTGAGTGGTTGATTAATCAGTCTCCATTTATATTTCAAGTGTCTATTGTTTTGAACAGGTAGAAGGTATTTTAATTTTGAGAAGCAGACAGCAGTGTAGAGTGGTTTAGTCTGCAACCATCAAAATGAGAGGGAAGTCTTTTTAAGAAATTGCTTTGTGATAACGGTGAGTCTAAGAAGCAGATTGCAAAAAGTGTAGTTGTAGTGGCAAATGAAAGATCAGTTTGACTTTTTAAAGCAAGGCGGGAAAGACTTTTCATTAGGTGCTGACTTTTAGCCACACAGAACTATTAACAGTTAAACTCAGTGTAATCTTTAAATGGAAAAAAATAGCAGCACCGTGATCATTTTGGTGTTTAAGCAGAGACAAGTTAAGTAAAGCGATGTGTGGTTGTCCCCACTCCACCCACCCCTGCTCCCTTTGTAGAGCTCTGGGATATCTACAGTCAGCAAAGAGTTGAAAAGTGCTGCTAAGTCCCCAGTTGCTTTTGGTTAGAATGTGAGAGTGAAAGCATATAACACCTTCAGATTACTAGACAGAGTTTACATTTCTTCAAAGAGCTCAGAATGTTTTCCACATGTTCCCTTTTTAATTCTCACAACATTCCTGTCAAGAAAGAGTATATTGTGAAGGAAAGAGTTCACTTCCCTTAGCAACAAACTACCAGAAGATTCCCTTTTGTCCTTCATCTTTCCTAACCATCACATTGTTCCTTAAGCTAAAACATTGTAATCTGACCTATGGTCATCTCTTTTAGGCAATTTTATTTGGAAGGTGATGGAGTTTGGATGTGTTGTCCCCTCCAAAACTCATGTGGAAATTTGATCCCCAATGTGGTAGTGTTGGAAATTGATTGAGTCATGGGAGCAGATCTTTCTCTCTCTCTTCCTCTCTCCCTCTCGTCATGTGATCTGCTTGTACTGGCTGGCTGCCTGCCACTTTCCGCCATGAGTAGAAGGAGCCTGAGGCCTATGCCAGATGCAGCTGTCCCAGAATCGTAAGCCAAATAAACCTCTGTTCTTTATAAATTACCCAGTCTCAGGTAATTCCATTATAGCAACACAAAACGGACTAATACAGAAGGTATTTGGATATTTAGCTGGATGTCTTCATGATGTCATATTTTTATGTTTAAGGTACCTTGGGGAAAAGGAGGAGAGTTTGTTGCCTTTTATCAGGATTTCTTATTTAAAGACATGTTAGGTGATTTTTTCTTAAGACGTATTTGCAGAGGTACAGTAAAAGAAATGTTATTTTTTATTTCTTTTATAGAAAGACATGTTAGATGATTTTTTTCTTCAGACTTTTGCAGACGTACAGTAAAAGAAATGTTATATTTCTTTTGTTGGAGTTTGCTATTGATAAACCTTAAAATTTAAGTTATAATGGACAGATATAGAACCTTGTCTGGGCTTAAATTTACTTGGAGAAATAGTCTGTCTCCAGCAGGATCCTTGAACAGTGACTAGCCCAAGGATTGCTCCTCTGGGCCAGCTCCTCTGGTGGGGAGGGTTAGCATCATCCAAGTGGGGATAAGTTTATCTCTTAGCCCTAGGTTGAATATATGAAGGGACAGACTTTTTAGCATATGAAAACAAGAGAATTGCTCACTTCCTAGTTGACCACACTTGTAAGGCTTTATTTTGTCTTTTCATTTCATTTTGTCTTTTCATTTTCATTTCATTTTATTTATGAAATTAAAATAAGAAAAAAATCAAGTTTATAGACTTGATGGTACTGTCAACAGACTTTTGCTCTACTGCATATATATTTGCTTTTACTTTTCTTCTAGCAAATATGTTGAGTAGATAATATTCTCTCTGGCAGACTTAAAAAATGATGGTTAAAAATGCTATGTGTATGTTAAAAATGTGATTATAATTAGTAGAGTAGCAAGTAAAATAACCAATGGTAGGGCCATAAGAGAGCTGTGGTATTGCTTGAGATAAAAGCAGATGGGACTAGAAACTGTCTCTTTAAACATCAAGGCAGTTTTTCCAGATATTGTCATCTTTCTAGTCTGTAATTTAGTTTAACTATATATCCCTTAACTGCTGTGTTTTGGTTTCCTTCCTTCCTTTCTTCCATTCTTCCTTCCATCCATCCATCTTCTTTTCCTTTGCTTCTCTCTTTCTGTTCCTCGCTTTCCTCCTCTGGAAAGCACATGTTTCTCTTTTTGGTTCACGTATTTTCCTTTCAGTGGGATGAACAGTAGCAAGAACTAGAATAGCCTTGTATTGTTCATCATTCTCTTTTTTCCCCAAAACCTTTTCTTTCAAGCAGTTTGCTTGTGATATTATTGTCTGTTCTTACAAAGACAAGAGAAAAAAACGCTTTCACCTGGGAGTTGAGAAGATTGATGTGCTAAACGTTTTCCACATCAGTATTCAGAAGCCAATTAAAGGGAAATGTTTCATTGCCCAGTGTTACCAGAAGTTTATGTAAGATCTTTTAAATTGATTCAGAAGCTAAAGGGTGGTGATGTTAAATCAGAGGTGGCCCTATAAATCTTAGAAATACCTACAATTGTGTGTTTTATCTCTTGGCAGAGTCAATATTCACGGAAACATTTCACCAGTACATGTAATCCTACAGAGTTGAGTCAGTGACTATAAATTGTATGGGTCAATATTACACACTGTAGGTGGCTCTTCTGAGGAAGACTTCATGTCTTCTTCTGCTCTGTGGAGTTTTAAAGGTTTTAGGTGTGAGTTCAACTGTGTGATTCACTTTTTTTTTCTTTCTTGTTGGTCGTTCAGGTATAGCTATTCCCTCAGGTCTGCAGTATCAGCATTTGAG